CTTGGTGCTTCATTTCTTTGCTTGTGAAATTGGGGACTTAGCCCCCTCCGAGATGACAGATACCCTTGCTCTTGTTGGTGATATTCAATTGAAGAAGTTTCCCCTCTCCTATTTTTTTTCCCTCTCGTAACTCTGGGCATGATTTTAATCATAAATACAAGCACAACTTAATCAGAGAAAGATGTATTCCATCTTCCAAATGTGCTGAGAGCTCTACTAAATACTAGTAGGTTCAAAAGCATTCCCAGAGCACTGGAGCTTTATCGGAACATATTTCAGTAAAGGCTGCCTTTGTCATAAATCTCTAAAAATGTGGTAAGGGTCACTCCTATTTGGAAAAATGTTCAGTTTTCCTCTTTTTTGCCCTCTTTCCCTTCCTATCAGAAGGCTTCATCCCTTTCGTATTCCCTCTGACACTGGTGTACATCTGAAGTCATACTATGATCACACCAGTATACGCTCTTTAGAGCCTGTTAACAGAAGTCAGAGGTAGCAGGAGGACAGTGCGGTTTTATGTTACCACCATTCATCACAGCTCTGACAGACTATTCTGTAGAGGGGAGAAAAGTGAGAGTCGCCTTGCCAAACTAAACATGATTTCCACAGAAGCTCGGGTATCCTGACTCTCCCAGGCAGGGAGAAATCAACAGATGCACAGCCCTGGACAAAACTAACTCTGAACTCACTCCCGGAAATGCTATCTTAGGTCTTTCTAGCCTGGGATTCGGACTCTAGAAAGAGGACCTATATACATTTTATGGGACAGAATGACCCCTAAAACTTGGGATATGCCTTAAATCTGTGATTCCCAATGGAGAATGGAGAATGATCATATCTGAATCATGAGGAGAGCTTTTCGAAACCACGTCTGTCCAGAGGCAAATCTTTTCCTCTCCAGGGAGAATCAGAATCTCCAGGAAAGGGACTGTGGACAGGCCTTGTAGAAGCTCCCCCAGGGCATTCAGAGGTGGGGAAGCACCTCCTGCACCCACATGTGAGCTTGTCCACGCGCGCGCGCGTGCACGCACACACACACACACACACACACACACACACACACACACGCTCCCCCTGCTTAAAATCGATGCCCTGAGGAATCCTAATAAATCATCCATACAATCATCTAACCCTGAAAACCTATTCCTAGTCATCCTATCTCTCTTCCTCTAGGAAGCAGATTGTCAACCCTGTGGCCAGTAATACAGTAGTCAAAGGGAATCTAGAAATTTCAGAGGCTTTGTTCTTCTGGATAGTTGAGCTCTCCACATAGCTACAGATCTGTCCATTTAAGCACTGAGTATTTTATTTTCCAAAATAACATTTCAGCAATTTTGCCTAGAAAACCCTCTAGTACCTTACGGCACGTGTTCAGTTACCTGAATATAATTTAGCCTCACCTGCATAATTGAAAGCCGTTTTTGTAAGCATCAATTTCTGTCCTGGGACTTGAAGAGGGAGTTTATCACTGTAGGCCACAAAGAGTTCCAAATGCATGGAAGGCAAGTGGCACGTTGGAGAACAAGCCAAAGATGGGACTCCAAATCAAAAGGCCACAAGCAGATGTCAGAATCCAGATAGGGTGCCACAGAGATAAAGACTGGGTTAACCACAAACAGGATAAGGTTTAGGAATATTGTTTATACAGGCACTGCATTCTATGACTTGACCGTCTGGGCTGGCATCACTGGGGTGCACAGGCAAACATCTCAAGTCTAAAGGGTCATCTCCTCCTGTCAGAGTGTCTTCCCCCAGCACTCCTTCTAATCCAGTGCTTTGAATTTCTTGTGGTCCCAGAGAGAACCAAAGGCTGCCTTTCCGGTGAGTCAGCTGTGTGTGTGCGCGCGCACCGCACCGTGTCTTCTGTGAGGGTGCTCAGGGATCTCTCTGACTTACTACCTGGACTTTGGCTGTGTTTCAGGAGGTTGGATTGCTGCATAGCTGAGCTCCAGATAGATAAGGAGATGTTATTCTTCCTTATTTTCCTCTAAAACTAACTCCTTCCTGGATCCCGTGTTCAGTGTCACTGAACAAGCCCAAGGTCATGTTCTCCATACAGTGAGCTTCTGTTCTGGGCTGTATCTTTTCCAACTGTGGGGCTTTAACTGGAGCAGAGCCTGCTGCTTGTGTCATGGGGTGGCCAGGGCTGCAATAACTTCTGGGAAGGTACATAGCCACAGAGGACTCACTGAGGTCCTCTAAATTACCAGCCTCCAGGGACAGATCCCCTCCCGGGGAATGAGATGGCCTCTGGGAGGAAGACAAACTATCAGTAACCCGCTATCAGAGGCCACTCCTCGGAGCAAGGTCAGAAGCCAAAGAATAGCGGTGACTTAGTAGCTTACGTTACAGGCAACAAAATCTAACAGGCCTTGCCTTCAATTAACTGAAGTCGCGTAACTGAAACAGGGCCAGAGAGAACAATCTATCTGCACAGAGAGGCATGGACGAGAGACTTAATTGAAAAAGAAGAAAAAAGAGGACAGGGAATCATGTTTTTGTTTTTATTTTTCAAATCACCTTGCAATATCTCTGGCTACCTTTGATCAAGCTGCTTTTTCAGAGAACTCCGTCTTTGCTTTCCCTCCTAATACCACTCCACCCTCTGGCCGGCCTAGTTTCTCTTATTTTTCTTCTATTCTGGCTGATATTGAGGCAAAGAGGTAGGGAAGGATTTGCTACAAACAGCAAATGTGGTGAAGAGTGAGTGCTTGAGAATCAGAGCTGGACCTGGATCCCAGGCCCGCCTCCTCCTGGCTGTGTGACCCTGGCCAAGTGACTTAATTTCTCTGTGACTCAGCATCTTTCTCTGTAAAAAAGAGAAAGAATCCAGTAGAAGAAAGAATATTTGAAATGAGTGAAGGTGACCCAGAGGTACGAACTTCCAGCTGTAAGATGAGTAAGTTCTGGTGATGTAATGCACAATATGGTGACGCTAGTTTGTAATAGTGTATTAAATATTTGAAATAAGAGAGTAAATCTTAAAAGTTCTTACCACAAAGGGGAAAAAAAATGTGACTGTGTGAAGTGGTACATGTTAACTAAACCTGTTGTGGTGATCATTTTGCAATATATACATATATCGAAACCTTATTCAAGGTTGTACACCTTGAACTAATACAATGTTATACGTCTGTTATATGTCAAGAAATGAAAAAAAAAAAGATACCTCATCATGCAAACTTCACAGGAGAGCTGTGGATACAAATGGAGGCAATACTTATAAAGGGCTTAACAGAGGGGCTGGTACACAGAAAGCCGACCCTGTCTGATACTCTTAGAACGCGCAGTAAGATTTTAAGGTCTCCACGGAGAGGTCCCTGAGGATCTAAGCAAGAGCTACTTTTCATGAACACACATGTAAACTGGTACTTGAAAACTGTTTTAACAACTTCAGACTCATTCTCAGAGGTTCTATGTACAATGCTTATTTGTGTGGGAATTTTTCCATTTTCCCAATAAATGCAAAGAAAAGTCTTATCCAGATTACCAAAATTTCCAAATGTTTACAATCCAGGACAATTAGAGGTCTCCACATGCAGAAGTCAATTCCTTTCATTCCCTCAAGGAAGCACGCTTTTTAGTCATATTGTCTCACATGCCTCCTCCTTAACATTGGGGTTCTCGGGTCTGTTCTTATTCAGTCTCCCTCTCCATATCTTCCCTGGAGGGCAACACTCCGCCCTAGTCTCTCCTCACCTCCTGGCACTGAGTACCATCTCTTTGGTACCCTCAACAGGCCCCTTCAAAGGACACCCTGTTTTGGTACAAGAGGCTCCTTCTGTCAAGAATGACCATCCCTCATCCTGTTTTAACAGATGCTTCTTGAGGACCCACCCAAACGTCAAGTCCCTGGTGAAATCTTTCCAACTCTGCCCTCTACAGACACTGTTCACATGACACTATGACATATTCACTATGACCTGATCTGACTCCCTTGCCCAACTCAGGGCTTTCAGAGCAGTGCTTTCATGTGTATCAGATCCCCTAAAGATCTTGATAAAAATCTAGATTCTGATCTACATTCTGTGCATTCTGATTTGGTAAGACTGGGCTGGGGCCTGAGATTCTGCATTTCTCCCAGCTCCTAGGTAATGCCGATGCTACTGCCCGGTAACCCACGTGAGTAATAAACTGTTAAGAACATCTCTCACATCTCAGTAACTTGGTATCATCATCATCATCACCATCATTATTACCATCATCATCATCATCATCATCATCATCATCATCACCACCACCATCATCATCATATCATCACCATTATCATCACATCATCATCATCATCATATCATCATCATCATCACCGTCATATCATCACCATCATCATCTCATCATCATCATCATGACATCATCATCATCATCATCATCACCACCACCAACATCATCTTTTGACACAGCTGCCTAGCAACTGTACTTAGGGAGATGAGATGTCAGGGCTGCCTGAAATCGTGGCGGACAGTGGTGAACAGAGGATGTGCATCTGGTGTGGGATGGACTACAAAGTGCGGGTAGAATCAGAGAGGAAAAGGAGGCAGGATGAGGTTAGTGAAGAGACAGGAGGTAGCAAAGAGAGGAAGAAAAGAGAGTGAAAAAGATGGAGAGAGACACAACAGGAAGGAAGTGACGAAGGAAGAAAAGGAGAAAGGGATGGCCATCAAACGAGAAAAGAAAGGTAGCTGACTTCCCTCCTTGGGGTGGGACTGGTCCTACATCATCTGACTTTACAGAGTAGGGGGTGGACTTCTGGACTTGAGCCCTCCCGAGGGTGGGCACTCTAGTCATTCATGCCCAGAGCTTCCCCCCTTCACTCTAAATGTTCTGCCTTCCTGAGCAAGTGAGGAATGAACTGTCACTGTGAGAGGAATAATAAACGAGGGTCTATGTCATGATTATGCGTGTAGAAAACGGCGCATCTCAGTTCAGAAAATCTCAGTCTGTAGGAAGTCCTTTATCCTAAGACTTCAAACTGATTGTCCATTCAAACAACCCAAACAAGTTACCTGATACAGTTCGATCCGTTGTTCAGGCACTCTGGCTTTCGGGTTCTGTAAACGGAAGACTCTGAACTCTGCCTTCACCAAATTGGAAGCATTCTTCTCCATGGCGGAGACGTCAAATCGGACAATTCTGAAGTAGGGTCTGTAGAAAGTGGGCGGGATGGCATCTGTAAAAAGTTAGGGCAATCATTCAAAATGATAAAAATCCATTGTTCTCTCACAAAAGACCACGCAGCATGAGATAGTCTTAAGAAACCTTACGGGAAATATCTACAGAATGATTTCGTTTCCAATGGCCAATTTAATATCATTAACAATTGAACCAGAAAAAAAAAAAATAAACATCTGCATTTGGTTACAGGAGCAGCCGATTAATAGAGATTAACAAACCACTTCCAACTCCATTTGAGGCTATAAAGTTAACCCTCTCCTTTGAAAGCTGACAGAGTGGTGGAAAACCCTAGATGGTTATAAACTGGAACAAGTTCATGACAGTGGATGCCTGGAGAGAGCCGTCGGGCTTGCATACACTTTCATCAGTTGTGCCAGGAAAAGATCTCCTAATGGCAAGCAGTTTGCCCATGTATTTTTTTTCCTTGAAATTTTGGCACTCAAACACTCTGCTCTCTCCAGCTTCATGGACTGCATCTTTTTTGGCTTTGATAATTTGGTCTTTCACATACATAGGACCAAATACACCCTCTAGACAAGTTAGGGTGAGGACATTTGAATAAAAATACACAGATACTGGCTATACCAGGCCAGTTTTAAAATTCTTTATCCGGCATAAATGTCCATTGGTGGGAGGGAATCCTAGCTAATGAAGAGAAAAAAAAAATCAAACCAAATGCCTTCTGTTCTGAGCCATGAAAAATACAGAGATGCAGAAAGCCTACAGCAATTTGAAGTTCATGGGCTGCTAGAATTTTGCTGTTATTTTGTAGTAACCTTGTCATTGCCTTTGAATATGCAACTTGCAGTTACCCCCAAACCAAAGCAAGTCCAAATTCTATCCGCATACTTCATATACAACACCGATTTATTAAGCACCTACACTGGGCAGGCCACCTGTCACAGGTGCATTCCTACAGTATAGGTAGAATAGGTATATTTCTACAATACTCTTCCAAAATCTCCTGCAAACTTACTTTCATTATTCTGGAATGTTCCATCCAACTCTGGTGGCTCCATGATTTTCTACCCCCTCCTCAATTATGTCACTTCACTGCAACATAATCATTCATTGTTTTATGGCTTCTTACAAGTGTTTTTATTACTTCATTATTATGTTTGCTTATTTTGTTTCCCCATGAAATCTTAAGAATCTTGAGGACTAACCATATTTTCCAGGTCTTTCTTTTTCCCCATCTACCTAGGACAGGGCTCCGCACACGCGGAGTTCACCAAATATCCACTGTTTACGAAGTTGGTCATCAACAGGAGTCTTGAAAGGCATCTGGCTATTGGCAAAAGACTAGCTTCTTATTAAACAAGTGAACCGTCCTGCTGATCTTAAAACAGAAATAATACCTTTTGTGATTTCCTGGGAAATCCATGCCCTGACAATTACACTGAAAAAAAAAAAATGCTAGGAACACACCAACATTTCCTCATCTTAAGAGCTCTGAACTCTTTTTTCCCTCATAGAGGCTTTTCCCCATCCCTTTCCCATGTCCTGTGGCTGCTGGAAAGCAGCTCATGGGAAAGTGGTGAATTTCAAACCATGCTCTGCTCGATGACTGCTTCACAAAGGACTGTGTGAATTGAAGCTTTGGAGCTCAGAAGCCTCAGAGACAAAAACAAACAAGCAAGCAAACAAAACCCCCCAAATCTAAAGCGCCCATGTTTCAGAGAAAAGAAGGTATTCATGCGGACACGGGGATGGCCCGCTGCATCACTACCGTGAAATACTTGGTGGACAGTTTCAGGCAGACAAACATTCACCCGGCCAGAAAGGTTTGGGGAGCCCCCTAGCTTAGCAATTTGCAAAGGTAGCTGCAAGAACAAACTGACCTTTCTCTCCGCTGGAACGTGCCCAGCCCAGGTGATTGGACAGGCTTGTCCCATCCTGATCAGCTCAGCTGAAAACAGTCTGGGGGCCCAGGTAGAGAGGCCTGGGGAGGGCTGGGGCCAGGCCTCCTGGCTTCACACACTCTCTAGTTTGGCCAGAACCTTCCACAGGCCTAGTGGCTGCATTCAAGTTCGCATGGCCTCCCCAATAGACAGCAGAAGCTTCAAACATGCTTTGAAAGAGCATCCTGAAAGCACAAAGCTGCTTCAGTGCATTTCCTGTCATTAGCAAGAGTACACATCTCATTGGTTTTCTCCCTCTTATTGGAACCCCCTTCAGGCCTGTGTTACTTCCACAGACACCCATCATTCACACCCGCCAACCCCAACCTTATCCTTCCATCAAGTTTGTAAATAAGTGCTCCTGAGATTTATTTTTATTCTCTTTTGTGTTTATTAAACTTTGAACAGTTTTTTTCCCTGTCTGGTCCTCTGCCCATAAACACACTTTCTTTTTATGGCCGCTTTGGACCACGAGGTCAATTTTGTTTCTCTTTCTTCTAAGCAAATCATCCAATGATCCTGTCCTAGGCTTTCGAGCTTTGAAGGGGTGTTTGCAAATATTTACAGGAATCGCTTGATAGTTAAGTACGTTGCTCTGCTCTGCTCCCTATACCCTGGCAAACAGCCCTCCTCCCCTCTGGCCATTATAACCATTTTGGCGGCTTCAAATGCCTGATAATACAAATCCACAGTTGTGGTTCTTGCTTTATAAGTCGAAGCAGTTAACAAAGGAGGTGAAATGGCAGCCGAGCATTCCCCACCAGCACGTCGTCGGCTTTGGTCTTGTGACCACAGTGAAGGGACCGGGCCAGCAGGACACGGCAGCTTTTCCCACAACCCTGCTCCAGCACCTGAGAATGGAAGCTCACTGGATAAAGACTGGTAACTAAAGAACTGACTACCACTTCTAAGGGTCAGCCCCAGCTGTCCCTGGCTGCCCTCTGCTATGGGTCACCAGTCCCCTGCCTGGCTGAGGAACTTGAGCGACTTGCCAAATATCCTTACGTTTGGGGAAAAAACTAAAAATCACAGCAAAGTGCTGGGGCCTAGCCTGTGACCCTGCCCTTACCTCATAAAGGCTTTTGGACGCCTGGTGCAAAGAGCTCAACGTGGCCCCCCTACACCCAGCCTGGATGCTGAGGCTCATTTCCGGGGCTCGGAGTGGCTGGGTAGGTAATTAATGGCTTGGGCAGCCCTAATCCAGCCATCCAGACTTGGAGGGATGTAGCTTTTTTTTCCACCTTCTCCAAGAACTCATTTCCCCCTTTGGAATGGGACATGTCTCTAAAGGCCTCTGGAATTCTGATCCAGTTCCTACCCCATCGCCAGGTAGTCGGGGACTCGTGCTTGACCTTTGCTAACTTGCCCACGCTCATCCCAGTTTTTTTTTTTTTTTT